CCCTCCATTCGGGCTCCTTGTTCATGCTGCAGCTCATCCTTGCATGGAGCCCTTGCTCACCCCCAGCCCCCCTCACCTCCATCTCCCCCCCAGGTGGATTTTGAGGATGTGATCGCTGAGCCCGTGGGAACATACAGCTTCGACGGCGTCTGGAAAACCGCAAGTACTGGTCCTACCGTCTGCTCTCCGCCATCCTGGGCATCCCGCTGGCAGTGCTCTGGGGCTTCCTCTTCGCCCTCATCTCCTTCTGCCACATCTGGGCCGTGGTGCCCTGCATCAAGAGCTACCTGATCGAGATCCAGTGCGTCAGCCGCATCTACTCACTCTGCATCCACACCTTCTGCGACCCGCTCTTCGAGGCGCTCTCCAAGATCTGCGGCAACATCCGAGTAGCTCTCCGGAAGGAGATCTAGGTCCCTGCAGCTGTCCCCTGCAGCGTGCCCTGCCCATGGCACAGGGACACCCAGAGACACCCTGCCCACGGCACACGGACCCCATGCCCAGGGACCCGGACCCCATGCCCAGGGACCCGAGCGGTGCGGCTGTCAAGGATGTCCCTGCAGACAGAGGCACCCTGGGCTGCCCCTCACTCCATCCCAAAGCTGTCAGCTTTCGGAGAAGAGACCAGAGCCCTGGCATCGTGCCCTGCTCCTGCAAGAGGGGCTGCAGCATCCCCGGGGCCGCAGCATCCCCTGGACCACCGCCCTGGGCCACGAGCTATGGCTGCAGAGCGAGAAGCAAGGGTGCAGAGGTGCTGCTGGACAACAGACCAAACCCTGCCTGCTCCTCCATCCCTTCCATCTCCTGGGACACTAAGAGAAATACTTGCATATGAATTATTATAATTGCGTAATTTCATATGAGTTATCTATATAAACAAATAATTGTTTTTGTGGAAGCTTCTGTATTAAATCACGCTGACAAAAGTTTAGGGATAGAAAGCTGGAAACAAACTTTGGTTCCATGTGTGTTTGCATTTCAGCAAAGCTTTGAAATCCAGCTCGACTGGTGCATGAACTGTCGTGTCTGCCCTCTGGGGCTATGGGCTGAGCCTGGGCCACTGGCCTCTGCAACTGTGGCAGTCTGACACTCACTGATTAGTGACGGGGCATCGTTAGGCTTTGTGGTGGGGACCCAGCGGGCAGTAGGAGGGTGGGCGCCAGGGCTGCGGTGATGGCAGCCGGCAGCACCTCGGGGAGCAACGGCAGCAAACGGCTTTTGGTAACTTGAGAGATGGCAACCTTGGCTTTAAGTAAAGCTTTGGCTTCTTTCTCAGGGAGAATATTTACTCCATGCTGGCTTGTTTGATTCTGGGCAAGCTCCAGCAACAGCAACACATCTATCCCGCACGGCGAGGGCTGCCCATCGCCCTGCCCCAGCTGCTGTCCTGGCCTGGGGGGGTAGGACCACATCGACCCCCAGGGCTCTGCCCCGAGGGAGGATGCCTGCGGCCACGCGCTGCCTCGTGCCCTTCCCTCCATCCCAGCCTCCTCCCGGAGCATCCCGGGGGCTTGCCTGGATGTGCCGATTAAAAAGTAGGGGTGAGGGAAAACTGCCCGCCTCGGAGCTGTCTCCTGCCCTGGGCTGTCAGTTATTTGTGCCGTCCGTCTGCCACGAAGCCGTGATTTACCTCTGAGGCACCTGGGCGCTGTGTGGGCTCTGCCCTCAAGTGCTTTGCTGAATCAGGGCCCAGGAGGTCGTTGTTCAGCCGTTATTCTCCATCGTCTTCATGGGCTTTCTTCCCCTGGCTTCCAGCAAAGACCTGGAGCCAAAGTCTCTTGTAGTGCCACGGCAAGGGGAAGAAAGAGCCACACTGTCTATTGGTGCTCCTCCCATGGCTCGGGATTGTGGTCGTTCGTTATTCCATAGCAATACAGCACCCATGTGCAATACCAAGAAAAAAAATCTAGATACTTGTAGGGGGAAAAAAGTCTCCAAAAACATTTTATCATGAGCATTTTTTAAAGCTTTTGTGGGAATAAAAATAATTAAAAACAATACTGGGATTACATTGTTTTTAATGGCTTTTTGTTCTAGCAGCTCACAGCCTGAACCCGAAACACCTCCAAGGCTCTGATCTCCCCACGCAGCGATCTGGGGCCCCCTGCACGTGGAGCACACCCCGCTCAGCCGCCAGCTCCTCCCTTTGCCCTTCAACCCTCCGCCAGTCCGCTCCGTATCCTTCCCCAAACCAAACTGGAGCTCCCCTGCAGCCATCTGTCTCGGCAAAATTTATCATCACATCTTGGTTCCTTCCTGGCAGACAGAGGATGCCCTGGGCTCCCGATAAAACTGACCCACTCCCACTCCTTGTTCTGTGCAGGAACTAATTACTCTCAAAGAGAAAGAAGAGGAACATGGGAGGGAAATGCCACGCACTTTCCTAAGGATTTAACCCAGTCTGGTAAAATGCACTGAGGCTGAACGTGCTGAGAGCTCACCTGAAGCTACTAGAAAAAAAGTCAAAGGAATGCCAGGACATGAAAGGTGAAAATGTACCTGCTGATAACAGTGGAAAAATAAAGTGCACATTTAAATGAATTTTTCATATTCCTTCCCAACACGTAAGGCCAAATCATATTACCCTGCAACTGCACACAGACCTTGTGTCTGCACAACCCCCCGCTGCAGCTCCAGGAGGTGGAGGGAGCAGAGGCAGGAGCATCCCTCTGCCATCCCTGCATCCCTCTGCTGTCCCTGCATCCCTCTGCCATCCCCGCATCCCTCTGTCATCCCTGCATCCTTCTGCTGTCCCTGCATCCCTCTGCCATCCCTGCATCCCTCTGCCATCCCTGCATCCCTCTGCTGTCCCTGCATCCCTCTGCCATCCCCGCATCCCTCTGCCATTCCCACATCCCTCTGCCGTCCCTGCATCCCTCTGCCGTCCCTGCATCCCTCTGCTGTCCCCACATCCATCTGCCATCCCTGCATCCCTCTGCCACCCCTGCATCCCTCTGCCATCCCTGCATCCCACCACTGAATCCACAGGAAAGCTCCCGCTGCCTCACCCCAGCCACCCCCCGACAAAGGCTGTAAGACAGGAGCTCCAGGCTGTGGAATGAAGAGGAGTGTGGATCTGAAGCGCTTGGTGCAGTACCCTATAAACCAGAGCATCGTTATGCTGAGCACACTTGGGTCTGTTTAAAGCGTTGGTTCCCATCGCTTTCCTTCATTTCCTTAGTCTAGTGCTCCTTCTGCACTTCCCCTCCCACTTTCCATCCAGACACAGTCAGAAAACTTTATTTACAGGTATTTCTTAACAATAAAAACCCATGCCAGCAGCATGACTGTGTGCGTTACAGAGCAAGGAAACTGCATCGGTGCAAAAGGCTAAATGCTATCGGCGGTGAACCCAAAGCAAAAGCTCGGCCTTGTGGGACTCAATGGGGAGTTTTTCCCTTAAACCCCAGGAGTCCAGCTGCAATCCCACCCGCCTGCCTTCGGAGAAGCTTTGGAGCACGCTCAGCCCATGGGTTATTGCACAGACCCCCGACCCTGCGGCTGTGTCCATCCCCCAGCCCCTGCTGACCCGTCTGCGGAGCAGAGCCAGGTAGGGACATGGGGCACTCACCATGTCCCCAGCCCTGTCCCCGCTGCCCTCCCA